TCTTTTAATTTTATTTTTTATCACAATATGTGGTTATTGGTTGTTCTCGCATTCTCGTAAATCACAGGGGTTCTCGTTTGAACCCTTCCCTATATATATATATATATATATATATATGCGAAAGATCGTGTGAAAATGAGAGTTATGGTGAGAAGCATAAAAATATGGACCTTTGATCACCTCTAATCTCAAACCCACCCATGAATCGCGCATGGTATGAAGATTGATCCAGTGCATCTCGTCCTAATGTGCATTCAAGAGTGGAGATTCCTTCTTACACTTCTTCTCACCCGAACCCATCTCTTTATATATAGGGTTGGATTTTGGTGAGAAGGGAAGTTATGTTGAGAAGGTTAAGAAAGGATCTCCACCTATGGATCAATCCTAATTGAAGATCAACACGAATGAGATTCACCATATCAATTCACTTCTAAAGCGTAATTCAAGGATAGACATAAGATTAAAAGTGATCAAGAGTGAAGATCTCTTCTTACGCTTCTCACCTGCAACTGCTTTTCTCACAATTTTTTGTACATTTAAAAGAAAGATTATATTAATAATAACAATAATATATGAAATTAAAATACTGAACTTCAACATCACCATAAATATGCAAAAATTTCAAGATCCAACATTGGCTCTGCAAACATCTCCCAATAGATGTTTAGGAAGGCTACACCTGATAAACTGTAACGGCAAGAAATCAACCCTGATAAACTCAGAGCAGTAGCCGGCCTACGGAAACATCCCGACAGAGCACTCGCAAAGTCGCAATTAGAGCATCCATACTAAAATACGTTCGATGGACGGAAGTATACAAACCGGAGGCATAACCAACTAAAACAACGTCAACGTCACTGATGTTTGTTCTCTTCCGCGGCTTTCTCCTCCTTGCCAAGCGCAACTACTAATTTCTTCAAAATCGCTTCTACCGGTTGGTGCGAATTCTCGACCGCCTTCGATATCGGCTGCCATTTCTCACCGTGTTTCGGTTCCGCAGCAACACATTTCCTCAAAACTTCCTTCTGCTGATCCTCGGTTCCATGTTGTAGTTCAAATTTATAAAGCAAAGCCCAAAAGTCTCCAACATCTGGTGCAAGAGTAACCGCTCGGTTGAGCCAAGTTCGTGCTTTGTCCACCTTCCGATCGTGCCAAAACAGCTTTCCGATAGCGGCGATTACATGGGGATCGTGCTCGCATTTCTTGTAAGCGTCCGAGCTCTTGGTTTTCCGTTGTGGTCTAGGAGCCATCTCAATCGAAGCAGCCCACAGAATACCGCTGTTCGGGCATTCCTGCAACGCCTTCGCCATTAAAATGTCGGCTTCTTTCTTAGAACCGTGTCTTGACTCGGCTCGTACGGCGGCTAACCATAGTTCAGGGTTATGTGGGTTCCTCTTCCTAGCCATTGTCAGAACAGCTCGAACTTTACTCAGTCCGGTCATTCTCTCCTCGAGATTTGCGAGTGAGAGCCAAAGAGGGCTTGAGTTTTGACACTGTTTCAAACCCAACTCGTATGCCTCCTTTGCTTGCGGCAGGCGACCGAGCCGTTCCTCGAGTTGACCGAGCATCAACCATAACTTGAAAAACGAAGGGAATAGTTTCAATCCTTCATCGAGCAGCCTTCTTTCTTCTTCGGCGTTCCCAAGCTCTCTCTCGACAATGGCAGACTTCATCCACACTCTCTCGGTTCCTCCCCTTTCACGGGCTTTAGCGAGAAGCATTCTCGCTCTTTCAGGCTCGTTGTTTTCAAATTCAAGCTTAAACGCTGCAAGCCAGATCTCTTCGGAATTGGGAATCGCAGCATATGCTTCCTGAAGAATTGCCCGAGCTGAAGGAACATCGCCAGCAAGCCACTTTTCTTTAGCACCCATTAGCCATAAGACCTCGGCCTGCGGTCTGTAGGTAACGGCTTTACGAAGTAGAGCATCGAGAGACTCCCGAGTGCCATGAGCCTTCTCAAGTTGTGCTGCTTTAAGCCATACGCTCTTCTTTGTTAAGAACACGGTAAGTGCGTGACCGTAAATTGCTCTAGCTGTTTCAATGGAACCTCTTTTCTTGCATTCTTCTGCGTCGGCAACCCAAGTTGTCTTACGATCTTCTTCTTCCACTCCGATCCCAATGGTGTTACTAATAATTGCATTACAGGTTGCCACAGAACCAGCTCGTTCAGCAGCTTCAGCCTCTTTCATCCAAGCCTCCCTGTCGATCTCGAGCCCTTCTCTCTGCAAAGCCCGTATACCCCTTTCTATTATCTTCCCAACCATGGCGGTGTTCCCGTTAGCTTCTTCCAATTTTGCAGCGGTGATCCAAATGGCTGGTTCTTTAGGGAGCTTCTCTCTTGCTTTATTCAGCACCTTCTTCGCTGCATCATACGTTTCCAACCTAGCCAACGCAAGCCACAATTCGACATGTAATGGGCAACACTCCACGGCCCTCTGAAGCAAAAGCTTTGCATCTTCTTCATTAGCAAGTTCCACAACTGCTTTCCATAGCCTTACGGAGTCAGGAATGTTTTCAAGACCCTTCCTCAATACCCGACTTTTACTGGCGTCATCGTTTTCCAATTTTGCAGCTTGCATCCAAAGCTTAACGGAATTGGGAATTGCTTTAACCCCTCTCGCTATCACAGCCTTGGCTTCATCTGGATTTGCTAATCGACATGCCTCGATCCACACATCCTCGTTCTTTGGACATTCCTCGCAGCCTCTCTTGATCAATTCCCTCGCTGTCTGAATCTTGCCCGCGACTTCCTCTAATCTTGCAGCTGCAATCCAACCAGGTGGATGTTTTGGATTTGTCTGAATGACCGACTTCAGCAACAACCTAGCTTTCTTGATATCTGATATCTCAGCATCACTGGTGATCTTCATACTCTTCAGATCAGTCAAATACCCTTTTGGATCGACAACAGTTAAACCCGAAACAGAATCTGAAAGCCTATCCAATTTCAAAGACAAAACCGTTCCTCTACCCTCACCAACGGCAGTCAAATCTGGTGTTTGAGACCAAGGCGTCTCCGTTCCACCCACAGCTCTACTCTTTGGATCCAATGCAGTGACGTGTTCTTTTTCTTGTCTAGCTTTCTCAAGTAGCGTATCGGGAACCGGCACATAACTCTCGAATCTCTTCTTTTTATTCCTCAAAGAATAATCTCCGATTTCGGGAATACTGTCCCATTCTTCAGCAGAGAGTGTCACTAACTTCCTCTTAAGATCAGCAAACTGTTCAGTAATCTTGGGGTTAGAAGCTCTATACTTTTCGATTTCCTCCTTCAACCTAGCCTCTCTCCTATCTTTCCTCCTAGAATCCATCCTCTTATCGATCTCATCCCACACAGCATCAGCCTCTTTATCTTCCTCATCATACTCAGCAGAGGCAAATAGCCCAACATCATTACCCTCAAACTCATCAAACTTCTGGTTCTCATCATATCCCTTATCTTCAGCCTCCTCCTCTTCTTCCTCCTCACCAGGACCCTTCCCACGGCCGCGCCCAACACCAGAAGGACCTGCAGCACCAACTGCAGCTGCAGACCTGTCAGGGAGGTCAGGGGCGGCACGGGCAGGTCCAATATCAGAACGAGTGGTGAACCCAGTGGCACCTCGACCTAGCCCAGCTACATAATTAGGTGGAGGTCTGGTGTTGAGAAACTCCAATCGGTTCTTGGGTGCAACAGGGGCTTGCATGATGCCTGATAAGAGGAACGATAAAGTATAAGTTAGATCCTCAAATTCAGGTTAGCGTAAGGGGAAGTTTAATAACCCTAGTGAGCTAGAATTTCAACTCAACATCAATATATATAACCGTGGACTCTCTGTTATACCCTATGTAATATAGTCAATAAGTCAACTTGTAGTAGGCTATGGTACAAGTGTATATTGTTGGGTACAACCGTACAAGTAGGTAAAGCAGGGTAGTGGGTCGGTTACTTGGTATAAGTAAGAGGGTTTTGGAGGGAAGGAGGGCATCAATTATTCTATTGTGTTTGAGATTGGCTAAAGCCTTTGGGAAACCTCCAACTTCTTGAATTGCTGGAACCCTATGTTCAATCATTCGATTTCAATTCTGATTCCATATTGAAGTCATCTTTGTGTACCAATTTCATTGTTAATTGCCCGGTTTCTATCACTCTCCTGGGAAGACTCCTCCAAGAAACCAAATAAACATTGTTATTTTCAAATTTTAACATAATATCAAAACGCAATTTTAATAATGACTCAAGTAAAATAAACAAATCAAAGAACACACAAGCACAAATCCATGCACTAGCAATAACAATGACCTAGAATTTGTTTGCTTTGGTTCAAATATACCTTCTTTTAAAGAACAAGGACACTTGCGTGGAGTTCTAGAGTTCAACCGCCACATAATTACAGGGAAGTTAATAAATACGCAGATGCGAACATTTGTGATTTTTAGCTTTATTCCTAAGCACTACATACTCGGTAGAAAGGTAGTTCTTGATCAGCAAGAAATATTATCAATGTACTTTTCCGTTCTTTTTGTAATAACATTGTATTTTCATATCTTTTCATTAAAGCATTATACTTTCAAAATTATTTTTTGTTAGGACATGTACTTTGAGAAATCTACAGATTATAACAAGTAACTAGTTCATTTGAATTCTAATGACATGGCTTAAAAACAAACATGTTCTTAAGCCAAGTCGCATACAAATGATAACCACATGTAATATTTTGTGAACGCGCCGAAATATTAAAATATTTCCTTCTATAAAACACTTTCAAACATAAAAAATCATCCCATTTCCCTCAAATCAACTTCATTTCTTCCTATATAATGAACACTACGAATTCAACAAAATGCATAGATAAGATCTTTGAATTAATTCATGTAAACGCAAACTAATAGTTGATCTTTAAACAGTTAGGATATCATCAGGCAATCATCCAAGTAATTGAAGATGTGAAGAACACAGTTGTCATGCGTTTTAACCCAATCTCACTGTAATCAATTAAAAACTTGAAGATTCTACACCTTAAGCAGAAAATCCCCCCTAAAAACTCTAAAACCTGGGTAATTGCTCAACCGAGCTGTAAAACATGAAAGCACGGATAAACTCTGGAGGAAAAACATAAAACTAAAAATTCACAAAACATATTGAATAAAGATCTCGAAGCAAATAAATATTATTCGTTTTTGCACGAATTGAACTTTAGTTAATCAAGAACTCAAAGACTGGAAGCAAAAAACTAACCAATTGAAAGAGGAAGTTTCCCTGGAACCAAGCCCTAAAATACTGACAATTGCTCGACTGAACTATAAAACCTGAAAACATAGCTGCTGATTTTTCAGAGAAGAAAACAACTGATCAAAGAACACCAGTATTTCCACGAATCGAACTCCAATCGATCAAAACTCTGAAGATTATAAACACAAATTAACATATTGAAAGAAAATACGTACCTTTACGAAACCCTAAAATTGGGAGAATCGCTCGAGTGAGCTGTAAAACCTGAAAAGCAGAAACAGTAAATCCAGAGGAGGGAAAACCCTAGAGACGGAATGATATCAATGGCGAATTCGTTGAAGGAATCTGCGAAGTGGAGTGGGCAGTCCTTTCAATAGTTGAATGATAACAAAATTCACGTCGGTTTATACTTAAAGGGGGTATTGTGTAAATTCAACAAAGTTGAGGTCCTTGTTTTGATTATTAATCCATTTTATTTCCGATAGATTCTCTATAATTTTAAAAAAATGCAAGATCAAAAAGTTAAATTTTTTATTAAAGATACATATTTAACTATAAAAGAATCTGTTGGGTCATTGATCAGCATTTTTCTAAATTGAAACATGACGCTGACTGTTACGCTATAAGAAAATAAGTTGCGTCTTCTCCACCACTTTTTACATAGTGGTAAGCGTTTGGATCCTAACAGATTCTCTATACATATTTCAGCATTAATATATTATTATAATATTCTATAATTTTATTTTTTTTATATATTTAAAAGGCAAATTACATGAAAAAATAACGTATTTTAACTTGATTTCTATTTTAAATAACGTAGTTTCAAAACTAATTTATCAATTCAGGATATTATATTGAAAGGTTTGATGATAATTTCATGTGATTCAAACTATCCATTCATAATAGTTGGAGCAAAAAGCAACGAATTGGACAAAATATGTTAATTACTAAACCCTATCATTTACTTACTGGATAAGATTTTAGTCCACCAAAACGGTATCGTATGCAACAATTTACCCGGTAAGCGTTTACCGTGGTAAAAGTCGTCGCCTTCACTTACCAGGTAAGACTCTTGGACGTTGTCTCACTCTTGCCGGGTAAGATTCTTGATCCTTACCATATTCATCCGGTAAAGTAAAATGACTTGGTGTTCACTTAATCGATTAAGCGTTTGGTAAACGGCCCCTAAGCTACCTTAATTCAAATTAAAACCCGAAAATCTTCCATAATTTTTACTCACACGTCCCCTTCCATCCAGTCCTGTCTGCATATACCAAACACACCCTTTCACTATCTTCTACTAAGGGCCGTTTACCAAATGCTTACTCGGTAAGCGTTTACCGAGTTACTTATCTTACTGGATGAACACGACAAGGATCGAAAATCTTAACGGGTAGGAACGATGACAAAGGCCGAGAGTGTTACCCTATAAATGAGGGTGACGACTCTTACCCATTTAGCGCTTACCGGATAACGTTTTAGAATCTTACCTAGTAAGGTAAGTAAGAGCGTTGATTTTTACCGTTAAGCGCTTATCGGATAAGCGTTTGAGTAAATGGCCACTAAGAAAACAAAAAGATTTCTAATTAAAGTTTACCAAATGCTTACTTGGATAAGCGTTTACCAAGTTACATTACCTTAAGGGATCGAGAGTCTTACCTGGTAAGTGAGGGCAAAGACTCTTACCGGGTAAATTGTTGCACATAAACCCGTTTTTGTTGACCAAAATCTTACCCGGTAAGTAAATGATAGTGTTGAATTTACGTCAAGTGCTTACCAGATAAGTATTTGGTAAACGGCCCTTAAAAAAGAAGAGCCCCAGAAGCTTTAAACATGTGTTCATTAAATTATACTGATAGAATTCCATCCAAATCCCAAAATAAAGAACTAATCAACCAAAAACCTACAATTTAGAAGCAAAAAGCTGTACGGATCCTTTGGCAGACTAACAAAACAAGAAGACCCAAAAAAATGGTTTGTTTTCTGCTGCTTCTATCCAAACCCAAAACCTTCACTTGCTTCATGGATTGCTAGCAATAACCGCTTTTGAAGCTGTTCCTTTGACATGTATTCAGGAAGATCTAATTGGTTGAAGCTGATATCAAGAACAAAATCAATCCATGAGCCTCAACTTACAACAAAAAACCCAACAAACGGGGGCGGACCCACATGGATAGATGCGGTGGCATGCTTCATGGTTCAGTCGTTAAGGGGGAAAAATTACATTGCTAAAGGATGCCACCGTATTGTTGTGTCGGGTGCCACCATATAGTTTTTTAAATTGAAATGTTAACACAAGATTTTAATGAATAAGATGGTAAATGCTCCTACCTGTGTACAAGATAAGGTTCGAGTCCTGCGGTTGTCAAATTTATTGTTTTTTAGCTTAAATTTTTGGTGTTTTTAACATACCTCGTGCTTTTGAAAATATATATAGACCAGACTAGAACAAGAATCTTTTCTGAGAAAAATGTTTAGATATTTTTTATAGTCAAATTATGCCACCACTTTAAAAAATTTCTAGGTCTAGGTCCGCCTCCATTGACAAACCCAGTATGTCCCACCCGAAGATGGGGTCTGAGAGGGGTAAAGTGTAAGCAGATCTGACCTCTATCCAAAAGAGTACGAGAGGTTGTTTACGTGTAGACCCTCAACTTGTGAAAAGTGTGTGAAAGCGAGAAATGCAGATACCCAAAAAATAAAGCAAATACAAGCAAGTATATGGAAACCAACAATAATAACGAAACATATAATCACACTATGTAAGGAGAGGTTGAAAGACGTTTACCAGGTATGAGCCGATGGCAGCCTATCCAGAGCTCCATAGTCTTTGTGAATTTGAAACTTTTGTGGACCCGAAAGACCTTGCAATGCCTTGAAACCTTCCAATGGAACCTGAGCCACACACATACAAGGATTTGAGAAAAAAAACATATAAGTAACGGGTTCCATGTTACACCTGTATCAAGACTATGATAAATAATATATGTATTAAAAGTCTTATAAATTATTTATAACAAAACATAAATGTCTTAAAATGACAAAGTAACATGTGAAATTTATTTATAATAGAATCATTTTTTTGACATTATTCGAAAGCAAAGGTCCCGTTTAGTTTGCAGGATTAGATTGGATTCGGAGGGATTTGGAATTCAATTCTATTCTAATCCCAAGTTTGGTTTGAAGGATTTCCTAGATTTGAGATCCTGAGATTTTCATTGAAATCCCACAAACATAGGATCTTGAAATCCTATGGGGTGGTTGGTATTTCACGGGATTCTTAGGATTTCTATGTAATAATGTTTTAAAATATGTTAAAAGCATTTGTTTTGTTATAATCAAATAATAAAAAGGTAATTTGATTATTTTTTATTATAATTATTTTTGTAAAAATATTTATAAGGCATGGAATTCAATTCCATTCCAAATCCTACAAACCAAACACGCCAAAGATTCATCAAAATCCAAATCCAAATCCATATCCCTCCAATTCCAAATCCTTCCACGAAATCCAAATCCCTCAAAACCATTCCATCAAACAAAGCTCCCCTTAAAAAGAGTAAAAGCCTAAAACATTATAATTGGGCTAAACCATGTATAACCGGGGTAAAAGTTAAAACACGTATAATTGGGTAAACGCTAAAACACTGTTCCATATCTCACATTGGAACACCTTCAGCCAATAGTAAGCACCAAAAGTGTAGGTTTTAAAGCATGCCTTACATGCTACAATATATCATGCCGCCTTTGTGGATGAAACTATTAATTTACACCCTCTAAGTAACAGTGAATGAATGATAGCATCTTTTGATGATGTTCCATTAGAATGAAAGGAATCATATCGATCTTTAACATACCTTTGAAGTACCAGTCACAAATTGAAGCAATCTTGCTCGATCTTCCTTGTTAAATGCTTTAACGACCTCCCAAAACCACATAATGGCACTAGAAGTGGCTGTGTAGCCAGTATATTCAGTGTTGGCCTTCAGATCATCGACTGCAAAGACCAATAATATTAACAAATATGAAATTCAAACTCTGAAGTCAGTGTCTTAGGTGATAGTTAGCTAACTCACAATTGATTTCTGGAAGCCCATTGATTAGTAGCTCAAGTTCTTTATCATTAAAAATGGAAATGGATTCTCGCGGTATCAACTCATTAAAGCCCTCTAAGAACGAATTGATTTGAGGACGTATTGCATTTGTCAGTATGTGTTCAGCAATAAGATCCACATATTCATGCTTCGTTTCTTCTGTCACCCTTATAGTCCGTCCACCTGGTTTTAGCTCGTAATCAGTTACCTTTCCCATGATCAAGAAGAAAGCAAACATCAGTAACACCAAACACAAATATGTAAAAAAGTGCTTGAAGCTAATTTCAATGTTCAAAATGATTACAATTTAACCTTCAAATGATGAAATGCTGTATGCATACCTCTGTTTTCTCGTAAAGAATGTGCTTTTCTTCATCCGCATCCATGGAAAATGTCAGATCAGGTATGTCACTTACATCGTTCTGATGCAAAGAGTAGGTGGATCAACAAACCATGGTAAGAGAAATAACCCAAGCCAATGGAGACCAATATATCTCATTCAGAGGGGTCTTGGGGGTAGATATACGCAGACTTGATCTCTACCATAAAGAGTAGAGAAGTTGTTTCCATGAAGACCCGTGACTATGAAGACTCCTCCCTCTATATATGTATTTACGTGTGTGTGTGTGTGTATATGTATAGAGGGAGGTGGAGAAAACCCCAAAAAAATGAAAAACTGAGGAACACCCTAGTAACCCTTCATCCGGACGGTATGCACATGTGCATATCGTCACGACGAACAGTTACCAGGGGGTTCCTAAGTTTTTCATTTTTTTGGGGTTTTCTCCACCTCCCTCTTTACATATATATATAGAGGGACATGAGCATAGCGGACAACTTCCTTACAAATTACTCGTATGAACAAGTGCATACCGTCCAAATGAATTGTTACCGGGGTGTCCCTCGGTTTTTTCTTTTTTTTTTGTGGTTTCCCCCTGAACCTAAACCTGACCCTATATATGTATATATGCTAAAGTTTGAAAAGTTAGATAAGAGCAATATCATGGTCATATAGTATAAACTGTATCTTTACAGACACTCACCTCCAACATCCACTTCAAGTTCTTGTAGTAATCGGGGTCAACAGCCTCTATATCATGATATGTTACCTTGACACCAAGAATGTGCTTATAGAACGAGCGGGTGAAGTAAACATCCAAGAGCTGCCCGTCAAACAGAGCTTTAGAAACCTAAAGAAAGGAATATTGAACTTTGTTATTCAACAGTAGACTTGATTAAATGAAAGAAGGAAAAAGAGAAGTTCTCTAGCAGTTATACCACACGGCCCACGAATTTGAAGTAAGAAAGATGCTCAGTTTGATAAACTGAATTCGGGTTGGGCTGGAAGGTCGCGTTGTTTCCAACAGTAGTGAAAAGCAAAGCTCCTTTGTCAAATATGACCCTTGACAACAATTGATACCACTCTCTTGTCAAACCACCAGCATCTATACCCTCTTCACCTTGAAAATGGACATTTAATCGCCGTTTCATGTCCTGACTGGATCGCAACCGCAACTGATTATAAGAATCTTCTAGAATATATGCCCGTCGAATGTTTATCTGCAGTGGACGAGCTAGGTGTTGCTCATGCTGTTGCCTGAATTTAGACCAGAAGTAAGACCTTTTGTTATCAAAGTCCATTAACCTCGGTGCCTTTACCAACATAGACAGTGATTTCTCCAACAATCTGGGATCTTGCCTGACAAAAGCATTCAGAAGCCGCCGATGCTTCTCAGCGAACCTAACAAATGTTAGAGAACCATCAGTTTTCCTATGAGAATCCGCTCCACTCGGTGATGAACTTTCAGTCAAATGTTTGACTTCACTTGCCGTAGCATAAGCATTATCTTGAACATAAGCGTTTTCTTGAAGCTTTTCACACAAAATCAAGAAAGCCTCGATGAAAGGCAAGAGTCTCTGAGTTCCAGGAGGAAGAGAAAGAGATAATGATGAACCCTGGGCATGCTCGTTTACGTTCACATTCAACATAACTGAAGAAAAAGATCCCTGTCCCAGCTGCGATTCTGTGACACTTATACACTCGCTCAATTCTTGCCACAAGGGCTCAAGTGAAACATTTAATCTCCGCATGGTGACATGTTCCTGATCGTCATCACTCTCTGCACCCTTGGTTCCATTGCTATCTACTGTGAGAGAATTAAGTGTCTGCAGTATTCTTAGAACTGAAGCCCCAGCCATGGATCCAGCACTAAGACCCAACATCTTCGTATCTCTCAGCGTAATGAGTTCACGGATAGCTGAACTGCTCAGATTATGAGCTAAATTAGAAAGCTCTACGATAAAGAACTTCCTATGCAAGGAAGCAATCGACGCCAACTTCTTCAGCACCTTCCCAGTGAATGTGTAAACTTTATCTGAAAGCCTAGTAGACAAATCATAACACATTCCTTTTTCAGGCAATGTTACATCTAAACATAATTACTAGATGGTTAGATGGTAAGAGCATCTCCAACAGCTATGCTAAATTTTTCTAAAATAGAGTACCAAAAGTTAAAATATCTAAAAAAAATTACATCCAACTCCAACAGCTACTCTACTTTAGCAATTCTACCATCAACTATGTTATTAAAATATTAAATACATTTAATACAATATTATTTCTCTCTCCTAAACACTTAATTTCAATGTCTCCTGTTGGTGAGGAAGAATTACATATTATTTCTCTCTTAAATATGGAGTTTTAGAGATTTCTCCAAATTTGGAGATTTCTACTTCCTCTATCTTCTTTTCTCTATTTTAGCATACGGTATAGCATAGCTGTTGGAGCAGAAAATATACCCTAAATCTCCAAAATATCTATTTTAGCATAGCTGTTGGAGATGCTTTAAAATAGTAATATGAAAGCAGGCTTTTAAGAAAGTGAACAATTAAATCAAACCAACAAAAGCAAAACGAACAAAAAGTGCTTAGGAAGAGAACAAGTAGTAATGGGAACAAAGAAATATGATAATGGATGATAACTATTACCCCTTGTGGCCAAGAAGGCTGCAGAGATGATGTAGATCAGACTGTGGTAGCTTCAAAAAGATGTCATGCATCTTGACACTTCTTTTATCATCACTGAAGCTTTCATCGACATAACCTGATTCTGCTCCAGCTAAAGAAGAATCTCTCTGAGGGTGGCGATCTAACTTCAAAGCAGCATTGCATACAATCACTTGAAGCAGACCCAAGACCTGCACCATACATGTAAAATAGTAAAGGACAGAGCCAGCAAGGGTCTTACTAGCAAACATACACAGGGACTGAAATACCTGCTCCAGATGGGCAACACTTCTTAGAAAAATCCCATGATTCAAGAGCTTTATGAACAATAATATAGGAACATCACTCTCAATTGATAGTCCAGCAGGATGCACCATTTCACATCCTTCAACAACCTTTTCCTTCCCCTTATCATTCTTCTTATCATTGTATCTTGGAATCAAATAATCCAGAAAACGTGAGGCATCATAGTAGAACAAGATATCAGCCACACATGAGTGATTTATTGCCAAGTATGTCAAAATCTCAAGGACCCGACTCAATACTAGAGGAGGAAGACCTGTGATAGAGAAGTTTCTAGCATCAACATCAATAAATATCTTCAAAGAAACAAAATTAAGACATGTCCAAAGAAAGCAATACCATCTATGAGTTGAGATCGGCCATAAACAACATTAGATTGACACCCGTAAAGTCTCTGAGAATTGATTTTTGTCAACCCTCCTACTGGGCCCTTGGTCTCTGGCTTGATCATGTCCAGTAGCAGATAAACAAGGATTGCCCTTGTACAACTATGTGCACATAAGTTCAACAGCAGTCGTTGCAGAAGGCCTTCCCCAAGGGGCTGATAGCATGAAGTTAAAGGTCAAACTTTGAACAGGGCATATTTTGTAAGTTTCAAAAACTCAATAACCAAAAAAAGGAGAAGTCCATAATCAAATATTCCTGATGTTGGTTAAGTTATCATGTGGAGTAACTATTATTACCTTTGCTATTCGTAATAGCCGGATGAATGCTTTCAATGCATCAGTATCTAAAAGTGGTTCCCCCTCAACTTCCTTTACTTTCAAGCTTCCTGCGAGAGTATAAGATGCTTTACGTCCTACTGTAACGCCAACATCCCTATCAATTGCTGTCCATCTATCGAATCCTAAACCATTCCTCCGGCTATTGAGTCTCTGGTTACTTCCAAACAAGCTATGAGCTTGATAGTGACTCATAGCTCTATCCCTGAGCAGTTGTGCTTCCGCAAGCAGCGGAGAGGGCAATGCTGAAAGAACTGCTTCTGAAGACGTCAAAAGCACCTAGAAACAAGTGTACAACAAAATTAGAATATTGAAGCAACTGTTAAGTCTAAGTTTAGATGCAAACCTCATGACGTAAATCAGCTGGAAAAGTAGCTATGATTGAAGCATTGTCCATATCCACAGGTTGTCCTTCTGCCTGCTGTGTAACCCTCTGTACCCTTTGCTGGGCTAAAACTTCTGCTTGGATATCTGGAGGAAGAGCTGCTAAAAACTCGGGATCAATATCATCAGCAACAGCAGGAGAATGAGCCAGTGCTGGGGTAGATTGAACTTGTTGTGAAGCTAGTACTTCTGCCCTCAAATCTTCAGGCAGTGCCTCCAAGAAGGTTGGATCTATACCATTTGCTCTAGGGGATACATTAGTTGCCCCAGTTTCATCAGATTGATCAGCTTGATTGTTATTCTGTGCAACCTGAGTGTTTTGTTCAGATGATGACGACACATCTCTAACAACAACAGAAGAAAGTGGATCCCCATTTTCATTTGCTCCTGAATCAGCAAGATTCATATCAACATCGGTACTTTCTTCAACCAGAGCATGAGAATTAGGCACATTATCACCCTCGGTTACCACTTGATGGTTACGTGTCTCGTTATGAGTTGCTGACAAACTGTCATGCTGCAATTCCTGAAATGAATCATGAATAAACACGTAAGGATACTTTTCACGAAGTAGATCATTAGAATAAACATAGGTGAGAAATTTCAGAGCCTCTCTACCTGCTCATTGACAGTTCCATCTCCTTCACCAATTTCCATGTTATCTTGACCATTCGATAAGGCATTCACAACACCAAGGCTGGACCCATGTGCTTGTAGATCTTCTGTTTGTTCCACAGCCACATCCGAATGAACTTGTTCTAGATTCATATCTAAATGCACAATATTCTGATCAATCTCACCATGATGACCATCAGTCTGCTGAGCAACACTACCCAGTCCTTCTGCTACCAGTTCATTATTGCCAGCTAGGGGCGCATCTGATTGGCTTATCTGTGCTGCTGAATTATGGGGCTGTCTCTCAGCAAGACTGGAAGGAGCAGTACTGTATAACTGAGACATGAACTGCTCTTCAACAGCCTGTGCTATAGCAGCATCCTGGCCTTCTGCTTGTGGTCGACCATCATCAGTCCACCGGTTTTCACCTAGCCCTCTTCTTCCCAGTGTAAAAAAAGATTCCAAACCAACAGAAAAGTCACCCAACTGTGGTGCTACACCTCTGTTTCTGTCACCAAATACACCAGACTGTACATGATCCAAGGGTAAAACAGGAGCATTAAAATGGGCCACGTCAAAGTTCCCACCAGAGGAAGATTCTAAATTGTGAGATGAGTTGCCACCTGATGACCACATTGAACCAAAATCACCAGATTGTGATGGTCTCAATTGAAGAGGATGCTGGAGACCATTTCCCTCTGTACCAGATCCCTCAATGGTTGTTCTAATTTGTTGACGTCGACTATCAAAGCCTAGAGGTCTCCTAACACCAAGAAGGCGATGAACAATCACCCCTTCAGGGGGCTCAGTAGCCTGCATATGGTCTAAACCATCAAGAGCCTCTCTCCATCTCACCTCAGTAACACGATTTGCATGATAGTCTTCATCCTCCTCAGCAACCATATCATCATTATGTTCATCTCCCATGTCAGTTCCATCATGATCTTCCGCATCTGTATCAGCATGGGACATCAAAGCAGTACCATCCTCCGCAATATCTTCATCCTCATCATCACCGTCCTCATCGTCCTCACCGTCATCTCCCATGTCATCATCTTCATCACCAGTAATGTTGCCTCCCCTGTTGTCAGCATGAAAAGCCATTTCAATTTGATTTGAATTCTGTAACACACCACCATCTCCCATCTCTTCGTGCATGAAACCCATTCCCAGCTCCGCATATGCTTGTATAGTTTCCGTCTCCTCCATCTCAGCTCTCATTTCCTGTACAGCAGGCTGGTTTAAATTTGAATGGTCATCACCTTGGTCCTGAGATGTTTGTTGAGGAAGTTGCTGCGTGACATCAGTGCCTGTGACCTCATGGTCACTATTTAGATTAGGCTCAACTGTCTGATTTATTTCAGTAGCCATCTGATTATCAGATCGGGTCCCTGCACTAACAGATTTTTTCTTGTTGGACAGATCAGATGACGAGCATTGTTCTGAAGCAATGGCAGCTCGGGTTAAGCCTTCCAAAACCTGAATAATGGTATTTACAAATTTGGGAGCATCGGGATGGTCTAGATCCAGCACCTGAAGAATGCTGGATAGGCATGGAATCGTTCCCCCATCGATCATCCCTTTAGCTATATCCGAGGAGCACCCAGAACCAAATAAGTTGCTGGAGGAGGAATTTTGTGACAAAATGGAATATAACAGATCAACAAAAGCAAGGGCCTTTTTGTCAGGCAATAAGCTGCCCTTTGAGGAATTGCTGGCTGAGTTGGAAAAAGATTGTAATGCTTTAACAAGTTCATTTATAACACGTCTACGCCCTTCACTTGAATGACCACACAAAACCACCAAAAACCAGGACGCCTTTTCGGATAATTTCACTCTCAATTCATCAGATTTGGAGTTTTTATCTACAGGAGAGTGGAGAATCCGATGCATAATGTGATGCACTACCCCACCATGTCCAGTACCGTCTAGCTGATTAGATCCACGGAGTTGACACATCTCCAGATCACGTTTCAAAACTATCCCAACCGCATGTACATACATCAGAAGAATATCACTCAACAACTTGAGGAGAAAAGTCACCTTAGATATCTCTGCCGATCTTTCTGGAAGTCTGTCTGATTCTTCCCTCGTCTCATCAACCTTGGACTTACCTTTACTGGTATCAGGCTTGTCAATCTCCATGGCATTTGCAGATCTAGTGCATTCTTCCTCTGGATTCAATGAAGGATACTTCAATATAATTTCAAGAATGTGATAGATGACCTGAGTAAGATTAGCAGATATCTTCTTCTGGTTTTTGAACCTAACAGATCCATCTTGAGATTTATTTTCAGGTATGCGAACACATTCAGTAGAAGATGCTCCGATTTCAACACCATGTACTTTTGATTTATCCTTTCCTTTCTCCTTTTTTTTGGATAATACAACAACAGTTCTCCCTCCAGATGATTCCAACTGACAAACAGCTGCTGCCGCTTTCATGAAAATCTCCGGATCTCTAGAGATAAGAGGTGCCATTGATGTCAAAAATGTTCGTGGAGGAATACGACCAGCATGATGGCTGGCAGTTAGAGTTTGTCGGATCTCTAACTCCATTGCTGTTTCTAGAGTATGTGGATCTTCTATGAGATGTCGAACAATAGCAGATGCTACAGTATCGTATACAAGTAAGGACCAAGGTCTTGGTATGCTAAAGAGAGCAACCATGCCTCCATTTTCGAGAAAATGTAAAGCCAGAGTGTGTGTTTTTGTCAAGCGAGCACACAATAAGAGAACTGCATGCATGACCACAGCGGGGACATGTTGTTTTATCATTTCACAAACAACGGTAAGTACTCTATGACCCTCTTTAATAGTCAGATAGCCTGTAGAGTTTCCAAATACCTTTCCGAGCACATTGTTTCTTTCTTTATCACCAGCAGCTGGAATAAGATTCTTGTCAGCACCTTCTTTAGAAGCTAATGAAGACGGTTTTTCTCCCATGGGGCCGGGTAAAGATCCTGTTTTTGTACCTTCAATGCTATCAGGAAAAAAGTTGGGCCTCGATTGCAACAAATTATCCAAGATTAAAAGCAAAGCACTGATGCATTTTGATAACGGAAGCGCATCTCGAGATTTTCTTGCCTTGAAGTCTATCAACAAATCTATTGCTACAGAGACAATGCCATTTTCTGCAGCGATTTCTCTTGTGGTAACATCTTTGGCAAGAAGTGATGCCAACGTGTGTGATATTGTACCGATTACACTAGTATCCTTGAAAGTTTCCAATGAACAGAGCTTTAGCTTTTGAATTAGATACGAAATTACTTTTGGTCGCTCTTCTCCTTTCTCCCTAGCGCAGAGGGTGATAAGTAAATCTGTCAAAGGGAAAGTAATAGAATCACAACTTCGAAACAACTTCATTATCACAGCAAGAATGTCATCAATAGGTGGTGCTTTTGTTTCCACAATTCCCGTTTGAGGATCAGCCAAATTTTCTGTATCATCTGCTTTAGGAGTCTCAGATGAGCTTCCCAGAGATAAAGCAAGTGCTTGTGCCAATTCGTCATCCTCCTGCACATGATCTTCAGGATGACTAAACAACCATTCCGTAGCCATCTCAACACTATTTATTTCCACATGTCTCAATGCTTCCTCTGCTCTTGTCCTTGTAAAACCCATCTCCACAATGGTGGAAATAGTTGCTTCATCAGGCAGAGGACCATCGAACCTTTGGTTTGCACCCCCAAACCCACCACCATGACTTAGTTTTCCATCAGTAACACCACAGTAAACGTGGTTAAAAAGTGTGAGAATTCCGGTAATAAACCGTGGATTACAACAGGGAAACATAGGGTGATTCCAGACAGGAAGTATGACATCTAGAACCTGAGACTGCAACATACGAACAAAATTTTTGGGGTCTCTAGGAACAGGAAACAATCCAATGGACAACCCAACTGCACCAGGCTGTATGACCAAATGAGCCTGAGACGTAGAGGCTGGAGGTAAAAGAAAAGTAGAGTTAACAAAAAACTCTAGAACATGGCAGTAGCTCTCTAACGTGTTAAATAACCATGGACTGTGAGACAATTTTCTTCCTTCGCTCTTTTCATGATCTACAGAATACGGCAATGTCCATAGCAATTGACTCGTAGCTTCAAAAGTATTGAGTAATTCCTTAAAGGTCCCCTGGATGTAGAAGTTATTTATCATCACAGTATAACAAGTACGACGCCTACTATCAAATGTCACTGCTGCCATGTGATTCACAACCCTTCCAAGATAGCGGCACCTCAAAGACAGTGATGTATCAAGACCAGCAGATGTAGCATAACCTCGGAAACTAAGTGCCTCGAGAAAAACTTTCGCCAGAACAGTTCCAATGCTTTTTGAAGCAGCACTTAGTGATCCAGTTTCAGCCCTTCGTCGATTGGGTGAAGTGAATCCTTTTACAAGAGCAATAAAGAAAGAACGTAAGGTAGAAGCAAGTGTGATAAGGTTATCCAAAACAAGGGCCTCCGGGCTTGTTCTCTTGAGATCTTGAGAAGTTGTCCCAGTATTGTTCATCAGAGACTCAGAATCAATCTGTAACCTTCCACCTCTTATACCTGACAATCCATGTCGATTGCGTTGACTGAAGCCTTCACCAGTTTGAGAAATTGAAAGAAACTCCCGCTCTAGACCTGAGTGCGGGTGTGAGCTATTCTGAACAGGAACAGGATTCAGATATCTCATCACTGGAATGGTGACATCATCAACATCCATTCCAACAGTGTTGCTTGCAGCACGAGCATCACCAGCATTTCCAGCAACAGCCACATTAACATTTTCAGGATGGGATTTATTACTCTGCTTCTCATCGATCTTAGAATCACAATCCATAGAGAGTTGCCAGAGTATTTCCCTGAAAGTAGCTCCAATATCTCTCAACAAATCAGCATCAGAAGTTCCCAGTTCAGACACCACATTAGTAGTTCCCTTTGCCAAAGAACATGAAAGAGATAAGATTCCTTCAAGACTAGAAAGACACCTCAACACATGTGTCCTCTTAGCATCTTCAACCTGAGCAAGCCGCATACCTCCAAGAGAAATCAGTCGTTCATTTGTTAAAATCAAATGCTGTCTCATGAAAGAACATAATGCTCGAGCAAGGGATGCACAATGATGTGGAGAAAAGCGCTTAAATGCAACAGCTATGCTCTGTCCAACAGATACAGAGGAAGGCAACAAAGGCAAGGTAAATAACTTCAGAATAGCTTCCACTCCCTTCTTTTCGATGAATACACGGCATGTGTCAGCATTCTGAAGAATTGTCTCAAGCAGACGAGCAACATTGTTAACACAATCAGGAAGAAAGGACTCAACATTCAATGATGCGGTATCAGCAGATGACTCAAGAAGATTCACAAAGTTTTCGTTCTTGCTGGATTGCTCATCATCAGGAGTGCAAGCTTTATCCTCGGCATCGGTTTCCATAGAAACGGAAGTCACGCAGGTTGTTGCATCAACGGTTGAGGAAGCAGCTTCAGGTCCATATCCTAGCTTTTCGATGGCCTTCAAAATCTCGATTAGCACATCCACCCCGTGCCCACGAAGTGAAGAAGCATGCCTCAATAGTTCATCCAGACCACTAGACAAGGAGCTTGGAGTGTCACCCATAAGGACACGTAAGTATGTTCTTGTTGTAAATATTTTCACAAAGCACCTCAAAGCATTATGATTTTTCACCGCCTGAAGACCACTATTACTCAGGCACAAAGCATCTAAGCACTGAGGTATGCACGTTATAGCTTCAGAAGAGCAAAGTACACCATCCATTATAGCACCTAAGAATGCAGATGGAAGACCAGCTGCTTCTAAGAGGGAAAAACAAGTAGGATCTTTGTGGATGAGATCACTCATGACAATCGCAGCCAATGAAAATACACGACCACCAAAAAGATTCACTTTTCTGAAAATCACACATAAGCAATATGGCAATGGATTTTCCTCTGAACCATATACATGAGAAGTGCTTCCGGTAGCATATGTTCCAAGGGATATGGCACGTAATAGAGCTTTAATTAGAGATCGTCGATGATAGGACGCTAATGCTTCAGAATAACGAGACTGCGTGCTATCCAGATTTGCACTATCGACAACATCGCTGTTGCTACATCCAGAGCTGTCCATATCAGCAGAAGTGCCTTGTTGCTTTGAGTAATTTTCGACATGAGAAATTTCTACCTTCAGTCGAAATATTGTATCGTCTAACCCTCCCAGGTCCTGGCATAAAGCAGCAGCTGAATTGCTGCTACCCATAAAAGCTTCGAAAACATGTACAGTAGTGCTAACCAAATGCAAATGTTGGGGATCTGTATCTTTAAGAAGAGGCAAAAGGATGGGTATAAACCCTGCTTCACAAATGGCAGAACAACCTGAAGGAGATGAAACTAGAACAGTGACCAATGAAATTAAAGCCTCAGCAAAGACAACAAACCACTTGGATGGTTTACTAAGTACAGCATCAATAGCCTTCTGCATGAGGCTGGATAGGATGCCACGGTGCCCACCAGATGTTACTGCAGATAACACTGTTAGCTGGCGTGAGCGATCCTGACAAACAGCAACCAACGAATGCAGGCAAAGAATTCGAACTTCTGCAGGAGCTGAATCTTCATAGCTCAACAGGGTGACCATTTCGTTGATGAACTCAGGTTCGGTGTCAAAAAAGGTGACCAAATCATCATTATCACTACATGCTTGAACAAAAACTACAAAGGCATGCAGTCGAATACATGTGTACTGTAGCCGTGCCGCAGAGGAGCCAAACCCTCTTGCAAAACGCAATCTTGTCAAAAGGGAGAACCTTAAACTATGGGGAACTTTATACTCTTTAATCAACTTCTGCATTAGTTCACGATCACACTGTTGGTAAGTGTTTACGTTGGGCAAATGAATAATCTGTAATCCTTGTTTTTGCTGTTCTGTAGTAGGGTGTTCCATCAAAGACTCATTTACTACATAGAACTCAAAATGGAGGGTGCTACCCAATTCCTGAGCAACCGAATCTGATCCATCCTCAATAGCACATGCAACCAATCCAAGTCCTTCGTCCTTTCCCCCCCAGCCTTGAGCAAAGGCAAATAGCTTTGAGTTCAGAGAGGCATCTCTTATGACATACTTCCCAGTCGATTTCTTCAAGAATGCTGCCAAAGTTTGCAGAGAGGCTTCAACCACATCCACATCCGTGGAAGCAAGCAGAGAAGAAAGATGATGCTGCATCAATATTTTCCAGAATTATCAATATCCAAAATATAGTACATATGGATAAATATAGAAGTCAGATGCAAAACAAATGGAGGAACATACAACAATCTTCCAATACTCCGCAGAAAAGGTTCATAGTGGATGACACTTGGTTCATAGAGATCTGAGTGCAGATCAAGGGGGATATACTTGCAATTCAAGATATAACTCTAAAATGCAGCACACACAAGATCAAGGTGAAAAAGGTGAATCTACTTGCAATAAATCTTTTATCAATGGTTATTTACTTGGGTAAACAAATACTTCAGCCTTCAACTACTGCCAGTTTACCGGACGAACCTTCAATTCTCAATTCATTTATTTATAGTCCGTATTTTGAACTTCTGTTTCAAAAGCAGTCCCTTTGCCAGGAAAATAATCTTAAAACATTTCCTAGGCAAGTGATCAGTGGTAACTCAGTTGCTTAACATGATTGTCATTTTTAAAATCTACTTTGTAGGAAATCCATCTTCAACAAAAAATTCATTTCTTCAATTTTAGTGGTAATTTAGTTATTTAGAATAACTGCGATTTGAAAATCAATATCTAAGAAAGAAAAAGAAACTACTTCTGTAAACAAAAAGATCTCCTGTTTTCTTGTCCAAGAGACTCCCTATCTACCCCCCATCCACCAAATCAAGACAATCACCCACCAGTTGTCATCACAAACTATCTTGCATTGGAGAAACAATGGGGAAGTAGATAAATCCTCTCCTTCATTTTCCCTCCTCAAGCCCATGGCCATGGCAGCACCACCACAAGAACTCACATGCCAACATAACCGAACCCATGGCTCACCACCACAAGCCATCACTAGCATCCATGTCCCTGTTGATGTTTGTGCATATTCTCACACCTGTTTCTTGTTCATTTTCTTTTTCATGTTCTACTCCCTTACACTTGTCACTTCTTCCCAATTTCTCGAAGAAAAAAAAAACTTGCACTTCGGTTCATGATATAGTTCACCATTGGGGCACCGGGAGAATGTTAGTTCATACTGGTTAACATTAAACAAACTACATCAATCAATAAACATCATTTTTCTAGGGAGAACCTTACCTCATAAGGACTGTAGACGTGTTTATTCGTGCAGTTGTCAATAATTATTCTTACAACGCGTAGAATCTGAAGAACAGCCTCTCTCGGGAATGGAGGATCATGCTCCAAGAAATCATCCTCAAGTAGCAAATCTTTCCTTGATTTTATGTATTTCTCAAGGAACGTATCGAAATAGTTCAATAGATCAACCCAATGATAGAAATCTCCCTGCACCAACAATCAGCATCATAATTCGAGATATAACAAAATTATACAGCAAATCAGATAAGATTGTAAAAGTACCTTGTCAAAGTCCCAAACAAAATTTTTCAGGGGCTCTTCAATATTTTCAAGCGGTGTAGCAATTACACCACTGATGAAGCATCTAATCCTCAGAGGCTGAAAGGAAAACAATGGAAAAATAAAAATACATAAACAAAAAAGACCATACCTACCTTGGATGGTCATCATGAAAAATATGCAACATGAAGGAAATTGTCATTACTCATAAACAAAAAAGATGAGAAACCAGGGATTTGTCACAATATACAGGAGTCTCTAAGCAAAATTAATCCATAAAATTCCTCTATAAAACTCTTGGCACATGCAACAAGAAATCTGATTCTGAAAAGCGTACAAAAAAGGTTCAATGTCCTGTAGTGTCAAGTGGGTTTTGGCCTACATATAACAAACAGAAAAACTCAAGGAGAAAGGGAGGTGAGTGCAAGCAACTGCCTAAAAACTTGTGATCCTTGATGATATCTGTTCAAGAAGAATTTTAAATTATGATCACAAGAAGATGAATAACTTTCAAAATAAATAGAAATCATAGCTATAAATTTCACAGAATTAACAGTTTACAACGGTGAAACAAAACAATGTACAAACATAAAAATAACCAATGTTTTGACGATCAACCAGCGACATGAATGAGAACGCTTCATATCACCATGTTCAATGCAGTCCAATGATGACAAATGGTTCAAAAAAAATATTAAATAAACCCTAAAACACACTCGATTAACTAAAATTCCGCTCATGGAAGACTGTAAACAGAATAACAAGTGTACTGACCACTTCTTCTACTGCTCTTCTTCTCTTCAACTTCATCTTCAAATCAACCTAACAATAGCATTGTCCGAATGTATTCGCGCCAAAACACCACCGATCAAATTACTTGATCGTATGAGAGTACTAAAAGATGATCGAGTTGATGAATGATCGAATGGTGAATAATTTGATCACGATGTAAAATCAAAAAGTTCAAAAGGGTTTTTTGGAGCCAGGGTTTTCGTTTGATTGATCAAGAAGACGTTACAATGTGGGGTCTGGTTGTAAATATATATAGATATAGAAAAGATATGTATATCTCTATATCAGAGAGAGAGGTTTGAACGCCATAAAACCATGAAAATAGCTTCTCATCATCAACAAAATATGAATTTCCCTTTTTAAATAACTATTTTTTATGGGTATAATAAATGAAATTAGGACCTATTTTTATAAATTTTCTTATTATAATATTATACTTTTAGTTTTTTTTATTGTAATAATATACTTTCAAAATATTTTTTATTAGGATATCGTACTTTTAAAATTTTACCCATTATAGCATTGGATAATCTTTTAAATTAAATTTACTCATTATATCATGTTTCTTTGTCACCTCATCGTTCATGTAGATTGTCCACATGTACGCTAATGCTGACATGATATTTTTATTATAGTATTGTACTTTCAAAATTATTAAAGTACAACTTATTAAAGTTCAATGTTTGAATTCGTATAACTAACTACGGATAAACATAATCAAATAGAGGATAAACATTTCATTTTAAAATATAAAAAATCTAAAATATAATTGGGATAATTATCGAGTTTCTAACCGAATGTTTAATTATTATCTTTAATAAAAATTGTATTATTAACCCAAAAATAAATTATTTTGTTATTATACCTAAATTAAATTATAATAAAATTTTGTACTATATTATAAAGCATTTGATAAAAACTTTTAAAAACCATTTTTTATGCATAAAATACTGTATATTGATGCATATTACTTAAAATTCAAGATTACAAGTAAATTATGCATTAAGTACAACTTATTAAAGCTCAATATTTGAATTCGTGTAATTAACTACGAATAAACATAATCAAATAGAAGATAAGTATTTTATTTTAAAAAACAAAAAAATCTAAAATATAATTAGGATAATTATCGAGTTTCTAACCGAATATTTAATTATTATCTTTAATAAAAATTATATTATTAAACCAAAAACAAATTACCTTGTTATTATACCTAAATTAAATTATAATAAAAAAATTGAATTAAAGAAGTTACACCAAAAAACGAAAACTATTAACTAGTTAATTTAATATTATTATATTAATATCGGTTTTTTTTTAAAAAATTTATACTATCTTCAAATTTATATTTCATTCAAAAATAAAAACATTATCGCTTTCTCAAAACTACATGAAATTATACTAGAAGGGTACTCGCGCAATGCAGCGAGATATATATTAATTTTAATATTTCATTTTATTTTTTATCTCAGTCGATGTTATAATATAGTCGTATGTGATTTTGAGAAAGCGATAATATTTTTATTTTTGAATAAAATATAAGTTTGAAGATATCATAAAATTTTGACAAAAAAATATCGATATTAGTATCAAATTAACTATTTTGAAATTCCTCATTTTTTGTGTAATTTTATAATTTAATTTAGGTACAATAACGAAGTAATTTATATTTGGTTTAATAATATAATTTTTTTATAAAAATAATAATTATTTATTTTGTTAGATCTCGATAATTATTCTAATTATATTTTAGATTTTTTATATTTTAAAATGGGATGTTTATCTTCTATTTGATTATGTTTATCCGCAGTTAGTTATACGAATTCAAACATCGAGCTTTAATAAGTTGTACTTATGTATAATTTACTTGTAATCTTGAATTTTAAGTAATATGCATCAATATACAGTACTTTATGCATAACAAAAATATATAATTATTCATATCAAATTAACTATTTAAATTCCTATTTTTTGTGTAATTTTTTAATTCAATTTTTTTATTATAATTTAATTTAGGTACAATAACGAAGTAATTTATATTTGGT